CCTCCTCCTCCTCCTCCTCCTCCTCCTCCTCCTCCTCCTCCTCCTTTCATATCCATCATCGGATGTTGGTGATCATGCTGGCCATCCTATTGTTATCAACAGCCGCACAAAAAAGTACTGCTGAGTTTTGTTCAAAATTGTCCTGTAGATTTTGAAGCCACGAGGTTCTTCTTCTTGCCTGGGCCTCCTTTGCACTTGGGGCCATTTAATTTAGGTTTTGCCGCCATTGTCATGATTTTCCTGGGAAATCTATAGCGTAGCCGTCTTCGGTTTGCTTTCTACACTGCTGTGCACACACTGCTCAAGTGGCTGACACCACACCGTGTGCTGTTCTTCTGAAACTGTTCTGACCAATATGGCCTCTGCCTTCAGTCAATATTGATGAGCCAGCTTCCCCTCACCAGGCCTGTTGGTCTATGGAAGGTATTTGAATCCTTTCAACCTGCTATTACAGCATAAAGCCATACTGGGTAGCCCCCCCCTCCAAATGTCACTGTTGTGTCCTGGCAGACTCGGACAGTGAGGAGGTTGAGGAGGAACATGGGCCAGTCCTGGAGTCGGGGGAAGGCTCTGACGAAGACTCTGTGTCAGAGGCAGAGATGGGGCCAGGGCCTCTGACAGTTATCAGCTGCCTTTGGAGTTGGAGATCAGTGGGGCAGAAGAACAGCTGGAGCCTGTTCCCGATGTGCGCATGCACAGAGCTGCCAGGAGAAGGGAACAGCTAAGGAACAAGGGCCGACTCTGGAGTAAAGGCTCAGGTGAATGACCCCTTTCAAGGGGAATAAAGAGGAGCGAAAGGGGAGTAGTGTTTACAATTAGTTTGTTTAATTAGTGTGAAGATTTTTTTCATGACTCTCAGAGACTCCTTGCCACGTATTTTCTGCTACAGCGTTGTGCTTGGAAGCTATCGGCCTGGCAGCTCTCCAAGCCTGATAAGGTCTGTGGTTGCAATTCACTCTTGAAAGACTGTTTTCCAGGACTTTGTTGGATGTGAATACAAATTCACATTAGCCTAACAAAAAGGGGTTTTGTCAGGACAAGGAGTCTGCTTTGTGATTTTGTGAAGCCTAGGTCAGAACACATAGGAAGCATTTGATTCCTTCCAACCCGCCATTACAGCATAAAAGCCATACTGGGTAGGGGGTCCCCAATCCGCCACCTAAGGATACTCTCTGTGGGGCTTCCAGGTTCCCCCTACTTTCCAAACAGATACCAATTGACCAAAACAGGTAGGATGTGTGTAAAATAAAACCTCCAAGAAATCCCACCCTTCGGGGTCAAAATAGTGAAGTAAAATGTGAATAATTTACAAGAAGAAAAACTAGCTGACCACATACTTTCCAAAGCTGTAAAACAATCTGACCCGTAGTGGTTCAATTTAACTCTGTGAGAGGAGGAACAAAGTTCAGAGACATTCTTGAGTGGTGAGTGTGACAGTCTTTGTAATGAGGGGGAGCAAGGAGAGATGGGAATGACGGCTGTTTAAATGTCAATTCCTCTTTCTGAAGGTGTCTTGTCTGTCTAAATTCCGGTATTTGAGGGGCTGCCACAGAGAGGCAGGGGGTCAATTTATTTTCCAAAGCACCTGAAAGCAGAACAAGAAACAATGGGTGGAAAGTAATCGAGGAGAGAAGCAACCTGGGACTAAGGAGAAACTTCGTAACAGTGAGGACAATTAATCGGTGGAACAGCTTGCCACCAGAAGTTGTGGGTGCTCCATCACTGGAGGTTTTTAAGAAGAGACTGGAGAGTCACTTGTCTGAAATGGGATAGGGTCTCCTACCTGAGCAGAGGGTTGGACTAGAAGACCTCCAAGGTCCCTTCCAGCTGTATTCTGATCCTTGGCTCAGACCCTGTGGTTAAATTCCACGGCACTTGCAAACATGCCATGTCGAGACTTCAAACTTGTTCACAGATCTCGAATTTCCAAGTTTCTCCCCAAGTCTCATTTCAGCCCAAGGGAGAGGAAAAGGCAAAATTCACAATTTATACTCTGTGAAGCTTTCATTCCAGATTAAAGGGAGCTTCTGACTATATACTTTATCCTTTACAGTTAAAAAAAAAAAAAGGAATCATGCAGTACTATGAAAGAATCCGCTTTTTATTCAAATGTGCGGATTGGGATAGGTGCTAACCAGAGCATAGACTAGATAGTGTCAGAATTATGGAATAACAGAGTTAGAAGGGACCTTGGAGGTCTTCTAGTCCAACCCCCTGCTCAGACAAATGGTTGTCCAATCTCTTTTTAAAAACCTCCAGTGATGGAGCACCCACAACTTCTACATTTTGTTTGTTTGTGTATTGTTTGTTAAAATTAATAAAACTTGTTTAAAAAAAAAAAACAATCCTTGCAATATCCCCAGGGTTACATGATGAACATTCAGACACTCGACCACTGACTCGTATTTAGGACGATTGCAACATCCCAGGGTCAAATGCGACCCCCCTTTTGTGACCTTCCGATAAGCAAAGTCATTGAGGAGGGGGAAACATTTAACAACCAAGTTATTCACTTAACGACTTCCGTGATTTGACTTCAAGAAGGTTGTGGGCAAGAATGGCTGCCGAATGGGGCAAGGCTCCCTTAACAAATGTCTCACTTAGCAACGGAAGTTTGGGGCTCAGTTGTCCTCCTACGTTTGAGAGCTACCTGCATTCCCATTTATCTATTTATTTTTATTTTACGATTTTTGTAAAACTTGGCAAAATTTGCCCGGGTGTCTCTGTTCATTTCATGATGTGACTTTATAATGCAAGGGTCTTTGCTTCTTTCTGTGTGCCCCCTTAGCAATGTCTTCGCTCATATGCTTCACATGTGACAAAGTGGACCATAACAACAAGTGCATCGACCTAAAGGTCTGTGATGACACCGATCGCTACTGCTATACAAAATATTTTGGTAGAGGTTCTGGTAAGTGATTTTTATCCCTGTGGGGACTTTTCACTCTAGAATTGCAAGCAAAATGCTTCTTTTACAATGGAATGGAATAGGACAGGATATAGGATATGTGACGTAGAAAATATGAATGGAATAGAAAATATGAATGGAATAGAAAATAGGATAGGATAGGATACAGGA